CCCCCCGAGGCTCTCCTCCTCCTCTCTTCCTCCTCCTCCTCCTCCTCCTCCTCCTCCTCCTCCGCCTCCTCGTCCTCCTCCGCCTCCTCGTCCTCCTCCGCCTCCTCGTCCTCCTCCTCCGCTGGTTGGTTTCCACGCGCGTGGAGGCCCAGCGGTCTGGCGGACCTGCATGGGTAGGGTGAGTTCTAACGAGACGGTGTAGATCGCCGTCTCTGCGGGGCCCCGCGGCGCAGGAGCTGCGCTCTCTGTCTCACGCCCGCTCGGTGCGCGGCGCTGCGTGTCATCGTCCTCGTCTTGCTGCTCCTCCTCCCGCCTCCGACTTTCGCGCCCGCTACGTCGACGCTGCGCTTCTGCGCGCTCAACCTGGAAGCACGAGCGTGCGACCACCGCGGGCCCTGAACAGCGACGGTGGCAGGGTTGCCCACATTCTTAGAGCCCGGCCCGAGGCAACCCGCCGTGGGCAGCGGGAGCACGGCAAAGTGCCGTGCTTTGCCCTGTGCTATGTTTCGTCGTGGTGCCATGCTGCGACGTGGTTCCTTTCCGTTCCCGCCGTGTGACGCCGATTCAGGGACTTCGCGCACCCAAACGTGATTTGGTGGCATGTTTCCGTGCCGTGTCATGTGCTGGGCTGTGGCATTGTGCCGTGGCGCCGTGCTGCGCTTTGCCATGGTGCCGTCCCGTGCGGTGTGGTTCCGACGAGGTTCTGCTTCGTCGATGTGTTGCGTGGCGTTGAGGTCAGCAACAGAGATCCTGGCGGCATATATGTCTCGTGCAGCAGTGACACACGAATACTTATCACAAGCCTCGTCCAAACTGAGTCAGAAAACGATGTAACCCTTGCATCACCATGGGCAAGTTCTGTGGGAGGACCTCTGCGACCTCGTTATACGGCGACGTCTCTTCTTGTTCCTGCGCGCTCTGGACCCCAGCCTCTCTGAGCAGGTCGGAGCCATAGTGTAGGGCACGGCCTAGAATCCTCGTCAAAAATAATTTGGGACGGTGTTCATTATCGAAGCACTCGATAGTTCGGGCACTTGTCAGAAACGTGTTCTTCAAGCTGTGAGGGTACTGCCGGACTTCGGACACCCCTGCGTCTGGGCCGAATTTTCATGCCAGCATTGAAGTAGCGCCGACCGCGCAAGCACCGATAACAAAAAATGACAACGTATGTTTGACGAGTCTTGCAGAATGTGTAGCATACATCCCTCCGCGAAACCCATGCCAGTTTTTCCCGCGACGCGTCGGCGCCCCCCAGACCCCTAAGTTTCAATGTTGATGCCGAATCACGCGACTCGATTTCTGCGCGTCGGCGTCCGCGGACCGAGCCGCGCGGGGCGCGGGGGGGGGGAGGGGGGAAAAACTTGCGTTAAGTTCCGCGGAGGGTTGTATGGCCCGAGTACATGCTGTTTTGTGTTGTTTGTGGAGCGTCAGAGGGCATCGAGGTGGTTTTCTAGGCCGCCTCGCGCTTGCAGCCACAGGTGGTCTGGGGCCGTCCTGAGGCCGTCCGGAGATGCGCAGAGTGCCAGGAACAAGCGTAGGGGGGCTGATCGTTGACAGGGGTCGTTTGCGAAAGGGACCCTCCCCCTGGAAGATGGTAGAAACCGCTCCAGCCAGCTCAGCATACTTCATGCATTGTGGCGGATACCATCCCATAGATGTGCGAATGTCAGCACGTAATCTGGTGGCGCAGACCCGTGCCGTGCTGCGTCGTGCTGTGTGCCGTGTCGTGGTGCCGAGCTGAGCGCGTCGATGGTGCCGTGCCGCGCTTTTGTTGTGAAGTGCTGTGTCGCGTGGTGACCAGTGCTGAGCGTCCCGTCCAACTGTGCACGTGTTATCTCTTGGGTCACTCGGCGAGATGCAGCGATGGCAGTCCTCGAAGAAGAACAAGCTGCATAAACATAAACTATCCGAGCTCCGCGTGGATTCCATTGGATCGGCGCTCGAGTCCCCTTCGGCACCATCCATGGCGCGCTGGGGCCCAGCCCCCTGCGCCGATCCAAGAAATCCGCGCGGACCTCCGAAGGTTTGTATTTATGCTTTTGTTGTTTTTGTGTCTAGAGGTGCAGCAACGGTAGACCGTGGCCAACTGGCTAACGTCAGGCCGCGTGAACCATGCAGTTTTTCCATTAAGCGACCCATGCGGAGATGGAGTTATGAGCTTGGGTCAACTTGTAGCTCCTCCGGGGAGCAAGCAGGTCGTATCTGCAACGGAGAAGCATAGACCACGCGGACGCACGTGTGGAGCGAGATGCGACAACAGTGGCAGTGTGCAGTCCCGCTGCGCTGGATTCCAGCTGACTGCCGTGCTTGTCTGGCAGAACTGCCTAGAAGTAAATGTATATTACGATCGGTGAATTAGTCATTTCTGTTTGAAAGAGTGTTGTCTGGGTCATGTGTGATTCCCACTTCAGGCTTTCAGCTACATAGCCGCACCGCTCAAACCTTCAGGCACAAGTATCGTTTAGTTGGCACGTGTTGGGCCTCTCCTGCCTGACCTCTGCATATCCGCATGCGCTGGTTGTCTGGCCCACTTGCGTCTAAGCTATGTGCAAAGTTCCAGGCCGCCATTATGCAGACGGTGGTAGGCACTCTGAGGATGACAGGGCGGTGACTGCGCACTGAAAATGTCAAGACCGATCGGCGCTCCAGGCTACCATGGTCATGCCATTACTGGCCCCAAACGTTCGTACGGTACAGCTGTGCTTGCTTATGAAGACTTGTGATGACTCGTGTGTGCTTCCAGCGAGTGGGTTTGCCAAATCTCAGTGCTCCGAGACTTCAGGCCAGAGGACAGGCTGGCCAGACATCGCTACGAAGTTCGCCAGCTCGTGGTGTAAATTCTTGTGGGCTGTTTTCCTCATCCACGTGCTGGACTGTGCAACCCGTGGCAGGGGTTCGGTTGAGTGCTGCACGATCTAGACTCCAACATTCGTGCCGCGACGGTCGACTTTGATGGAAGCGACCTTGTCCAGATCGGCAGAGTCTGCGGCCGAAGACTTGTTCAAGAGTCCGGAGTGGTTGAGGCCGCGGGAAGCCCTGCATTGCCTTGGGTACGTCCCCTCCCAGACTCTTCCCCAGATCACTCCGCGGGGGGAGGGGAAGGCAGGGTGGGGCGCACACCGTCTGGCGGCACATCACACCTCACCGTCGCGTCGTCGTCGTCATCGTCGTCGTCGTCGTCTCTCTCTCTCTCTCTTTCTCTCTCTCTCTCTCTCTCTCTCCCCCTCACATGAGACTGGTCGCCCTCTGGGCTGAGCTGACGGACGAAATGCTGTGGGGGGGGTCAGAACGCGCGCTGGCCGAATTTCAGGAGGGAAAAACACAAACACAATTACTCGTCGACTCCCGGGAAAATATGGGAAACTATGGAAAGTGGGGGGGGAAGACGAAAACGCAGAAAATATGGGCCCCTTCAGAATTGGGCGCGCTCTCCACAAATTGTGAAACCAAAGCGGGCAGATCGCAGCCACGCTCGGCCCGTCTTCCTTCTGTTCCGCATCCTCTTCTCCCCCCCTCCGCATCATCGTCGCCCTCGTCCTCAGCCTCCTGCTGCTCCTCCTGCTGCTCCTCCTCCTCCTCCTCCTCCTCCTCCTCCTCGTCTTCGTCCCCTCTTCCTGCTGCTGCTGCTGCTGCTGCTGCTGCTGCTCCTCCTCCTCCTCCTCCTCGGCCTCCACGGGTTGGGGCCTCCCACAGTGAGCAACCTTTGACGCAGCCAAGAGCAGGACGCTGTAGCTTCTGGTGGCAACCGTTCGCAGATCTTTCTCAAGGAGCGGCCGCCCAGTGCACAGTCTGTGCCGCAACCGTCGGCAGGCCGTCTTGCTCTCGACCGCCCAGTGCGCAGTCTGTGGTGCGACCCACGGGTGGGGCAGCCCATGGGCGAGCCGGGGCGCGCTCGTCACTGAAGCGAGAGACACCTGCGTCGAGTCACGAAGGGGGGGGGACTGGTCGGGGGGCGTCAAGTGGTCACCTCGCCGATCCTGGCTCGGCCGATCTTGGGCCTGGGATCGCCGTCAACGCTTCCTCGGCCAAGCAAGGAGGGCGCACATACCGATCTTGGGCCCAGGATGGGCCCAGCCAGGATCGGTGAGGTGGTCAGCTGACGTCGCCCGACATTGGGATGTGAGAGCGTACTGCAGCATCGGTGAGGTGTGAAGGGTGTGCTGTACTCACCTCTTTGTCCTCCTCGCTCTCCTCCCCCTTCGCCCTCTGCCTCAACTTTTTCTCATGGTCGTCGCCGCTATCCCCCTCCTCGTCCTCTTTATCCGGCTGGCCCTCCTCCCCGTCCTTCTCCGCCGCCTCCCCGTCCTCCGTGGCCCCGTCCTCCTCTTCCTCCTAGAAGTCGCTCTCGTCTTCCTCCTCCTCCTCCTCCTCCTCCTCCTCCTCCTCCTCCTAGACGTCGCTCTCTTCTTCTTCTTCTTCTTCTTCTTTTTCTTATTATTCTTCTTATTATTCTTCTTCTTCTTCTTCCTCCTCCTCCTCCTCCTCCTCCTCCTCCTCCTCCTCCCTCTCTACTCCTCCTCCTCCCCCCCCCTCCTCCTCCTCCTCCTCCTCCTCCTCCTCCTCCTCTCCTCCTCCTCCTCCTCCTCCTCCTCCTCCTCCTCCTCCTCCATCCTCCCGTTCCCCCCTCCCTTCCGCGCAACGCGCTCTGCTTCCTCCCTTCCCTCCCGGCCCGAGCCCCCGGAGGAGGGGCAGACGGATGCAGCAGGGCATGGCGAGTGCGGAGCAGCGGCAGGAAGAGAGTGGGGCGGGCCAGGGCTCCCCCCAGACGTCCGGCTGCTCCAACTCTTTGTCGATGCGCGGGCCCCTGAAGGTCCAGGCGATTTACCTCGGGTCAGTTTTTCGTCCCGAGTCGTTTTTGGACGCTGCCAAGGCCCAGCGAGGGCCCCTGGAGGCCGAAAACTGTCAAAATCCCGCCGCTCCAATTTTTTTTGTTTTTTGGGAGCGTCGGACCTCTAGGTCGAAAGGACTTGGGAGTGCGCTCGCGCCTGGGGTGCGTGGCGCGAGGCGCAGCGGGCAGACCACGAGGTCCCTGCGCCACCCGTGGCAGGAGGCGTGCCCCCCCCCCCCCCCCCCCCCCCCTGGCGCGCCGGCTGAGACTGCGGCTGCTCTCTTCTCTCGTGACCGTACGTGGACTTTATGTTCGAACCCTGTGGCCCAAGATGCCCCCCAGACCCCCCTCGAATATATTGTCCATCTACTAGATGTCGCTCCTCGCTCCTCCTGCGCCTCTTCATCCTTCCCTTTGCTCCCCTCCTCCTCTCAGAGGAGAAAAAGGTGCCCACACCTCTATCCTTTGTCCGTGTTCCCTTCTTCATCCTTCGCCTCCTGCGCCTCTTCATCCTTCGACGGAAGAAAAACGGCATCAACATCTATATATATATATATATATATATATATATATATGTAAACTGTTGGCGTTCCGCGCGGATTTCTCGGATCCGCGCTGGGGCTCCCTGGCGCCTCTGGCGCCACCCCTGGCGCGCTCCGCGCGCCAGGGAGGGGGTCCAGCGCAGATCCAAGAAATCCGCGCGGAGCGCCAACAAGTTACGTTTATGGCGTTTGTTCTTCTTCTAATCCTTCCCTTCGCTCCCCTCCTGTTTCACCCTCGTCCTTGAAGCCGGCTGGGGGGCCGAGTTGGCCGAGCACCTGGTTGCGGCCGGCAGGAAAGAGGAGAGGAGTTGGGCCACCTCTGTCGCCTCGGCTGGACGCGGCTCGAAAGGTTGGTCAGCTTCTCGACCCGGGACCAGACTGGTTCGGGTACCCATTCTGAGCGGAGTTGCCCTCATCATTCCCTCTTGGCGTATTGTCTCAGGGGTTGTCCAGCTCAGACCCCCTGGCCCACAAGGCAACGCCAAGTTCACCAAACGCCAACGAGCATAGCAGCAGCGCGCCGTTCGCATTGAATTGCGCGGCGTTGTCGTTGGCTGACCGTCGAGCTGTTTCCGCTTGCAGTTCACGCGTCGTTTGACGGTCCCATGAGTCTACACTTTTTCATGTGGGGGGCGGGGGTCGTTTTTCATGCGTTCACAATCCTCGTCCTTGTCGCCACCCTCTTCGAGCTCGTACCAAGTGCTCTGGCCCGAGCATTCGAGCCTGCGACTGTACGACCTTCCGAGCAGCGTTGCCGCTTCGAGTCGCGCTGGTTCTCGCAGCAGGACGACCAGTTCTCTAAGGATCTTGCTTGTGCTCAGGCGCGCAAGAGTCATGGGCTGGAGATGGTGAAACAGAGCCATGGGTCATTCGCTGTGTGTCGTGCGACTGGCCTTCACGTGACCATGGGTGGCATTGGTTACGCGCCTGTCTTTGAAAGCGGGCATTTGTTTGGATGCCCAGGTCCCAATCTACTTCAGGTGCCTTCTCACTTCAAGGATCGAGCGGGTTTTCCTCTTCCCTCTCCTTCCGGGGCCAGGCGGAGGCCCAATCGATTTCCATCGCCTTCCTAGTTCATGTTTCGACCCAGTTCTTCCGACCGCTGTGTCCGCGCCTCCGCGTTTCGCCACACAGGCGCTGATCATCGAATATTCTTTTCTAAAGAACAATTATGGTTGATCTCCGGAAACGGTTCCGCGCGCTCTCGCCTCGACGCCGGCTACATTTTCTCTGAAAGCGCGGCTCCCGCTCGAGCGTTGGCTTGAGCCTAAATGTGGGCCCTTGGAGGCCCAGCTACGACAACAACGGCTCCCGCTCGATATTTCCTCACAGTTTACCCCGAGACACCCTGGCCAGAGAGGCCCCCGGAGTCAGGAACGGCGCTCTCGCTCGAGACTTCCTCGGAATTCAATTAAGTTGGCGGAGGCCCAGCCACGACGACAAGGGCTCCTGTTCGATATTTCCTCACGATTTACTCCGAGAGCCCCTGGTCAAGAAAACCCCCGAACTCAGGAATGGCGCTCTCGTTGGAGACTTTCCCGTAATTTGGGCAAGTTGGTGGAAGCAACAAGGGCTCCCGTTCGATATTTCTCCATTGGTATTCCGAGAGCCCTTTGCCAGAGAGGCCCCCGAACTCAGGAATGGCGCTCTCGCTCGAGACTTCTTCGCACTTCAATCAGTGGCCGACAAGGAAGAGATTTCCCCCGAAAGGGGGTGCAATCGAAGACGACGTGGGCGGGCAGCGAGGGTTGGGGTATACGAAATGCAGGACACGCGTTCCAGCAAGAGCGAACAGTCTTAAAATGAGCTTCGTTGTTAGGTATTGCTGCAGCGATGGACTGGGTATCGCTCATGGAGATGGTGTGAGATTGCTCGCGCGGCGGTCGCCCGATCTTGCGCTGCGTAGATTTCCACGCGCCACCCAGGGGCGCGCTGCGGCGCCACGCTGCCTTGCCCAGGCAGGGCGAGCAGCCTCACCAAGGCGTCCAGGGCGGTTCTCAGCACCTCATGGGGCGCGGAGCGCCCCATGGAGCGTCGCTGGCGGCGGCACCGGGGCGTCTGAGACCGCCCCTGACTACTCGGGGGGCCTGCGGAGGCCAGCAGGCGCTGCCTGGGGGCGGCCTGTCTGCGCGCAGCCCGAAGCCCTGCCACGCCCACTCCCCTTCCGGTGCGTCCCCGCGCCTCTTCCGCCCAAGGCTCTCTCCGAGGGTGGAAACCCTGACTCCACGTCCGCTTTCCTTCCTGGGCGATTTCGCAAGTAGGGCGCTGATTTTCGCCCTACTTTTCAGGCTCCTTTGACGTCGATCTCCGCCCTACTCTGCCGCCGCTGTTAGCGCCCCACTCTTGCGGAAATAACCACCCGACTTCCCGAAGCGGAGATTTCCGCCCTATTGATTCGCATCGTTTGGGGTGCATTTCCGACGTGGCTTGCAAGTCGGGAAATCATTATGGTGAGTTCATGTGTTTCCGATGCACGTGTATCCGCCGCCGTTTCTGGGCGCTCAAGTCTTGAGTATGTTGGAAAGGCCCGCTGACCACGCTGAGCAGCACCGTCCTCGAAGGTTTAGTCTCTTGCAATCGCTGGCAAGAACGAACGCTTAGGGACCAAATCACGGCGGATCTAGATCGGCGACCACCCTGGGGGGCAAGTGAGAGGGGGCGGGCCTTCCCAGAAGGCTCGGAAGTCCCCCAGCCTGCTGAGAAGTTCTCTGAGAGCCTTCCCCGAAGACACAGCCCCGCCGCCTTCTGAGAAGACTTCCTCCTTCTGACTCTCCCCCCCTCGCTCGCCGCCGAGTTCGGTTCGGGGCGGTCCTCGGGAACCTCCCGCCGATTCGGAGAACCGCCACCAGATTGGCGGAGGGCTCCTCAGAAGCCCCACCGTCTTCCGAGAAGGCCGGCCCTTTCTCATTTCCCTCCCCCGCTCGCCGCCTAGCTTGAGAAGCAATTCGTGGCGGATCCGCAGTCTGGGCAGCCTCACCTCTCGCCTCTCGCCTTGCTTCAGGCGCAGAGCGCGCTGGCGCCGTCGCGCCCGACGCCGAGACCCGAGGAGCCTCACCTCGGCCCAGTGGCCGGCGCGGAGGCGGAGGAGGAGGGGAGTGAAGGCGGGGGCAGGAGGAGGAGGAGAAGTAGGTGGAGGAGGAGGACTAGGAGGAGGGGGAAGAGGAGGAGGAGGAGAAGGAGGAGGAGGCGGAGGACGAGGACGAGGACGAGGGCGAGGAGGAGGAGGAGGAGGAGGAGGAGGAGGAGGAGGAGGAGCAGGGGGAGGGGGAGGAGGACAAGCTAGGTGCGCTCGCGTCATATCTGACGTCCTACCCCTCCCTCCCATCCCTTACCATGGCGTTGGCGTACTCTCTATTCGCACTGTCGGACGTCGAGCAAGCAATGGTCGCGAGAGGGTACGCGATGCATGGTAGAGCACGGAGCACGGCAGAGCGTAGCATGCCATAGCATGGCGTGGCATTGCGCAGTGAAGCGTGTCATCACAAAGCATTACAACGCACAGCATGTCATGGCATGGCGCCGGGTTCCTTGGAGGGTAGGTGGAGCGTCTTCGAGAGGTCTGGGCCGGTCTGGAGTCGTGGCTCCATCTCTAACTCCTTGGGCTCTCCTAAAAGCTCCACACAAGGCGGGGTTGATGAAGAGCACCCTCTGGCTCTGCTTTCAACATCGCTTTCTCAAAGCAGAAACGGGGCTCTTGCTTGATGCTTGCTGACAACGACGACGCCCCAAAGTGGAGGGGGGCTTCTGCGGCCCTCAATCAACGAATCGACACCGAATGTGTAATCACTACCGATGTTTTTTTCGGGGGGCATTTTCTGGATTTTCGGGCCTTTTTGGAGGGACCGAAAACGCCCGCGGTGCAGCGGGAGCACGATTTGAAACAACCAGAGGCGCAGAAACGGGGCCAGTGCTTCAGCGGGAGCAAGATTTTGAACAACAACCCAAGCGAAAGCCGAACTACCAGGAATCCTGCGTGCATAAAAACAATTCGCGAAGGGGGACCGGACATCTTCGTGACATCATCAGGGGAGAGAGGAGAGTAGTACTCTGATTGTGTCACTGTGGAGGAGGAGGAGGAGGAGGAGGAGGACGACGACGACGATGGTATCGCTTACCCTTCCCGCCCCGTTCGCTCGCGTCCTGCAGGAGGAAATGGAACCCTGGGCTCTTGCGGCAGCGGGCGTCGGGAGGAGGCTCGAAAGGTGCCGGGTGCGGTGGGAGGAGGCGCAGCAGTGGGCGGCGCGACGGGCGCCCGCGGCGCCAGGAGAGCCCCGAGAGGTGCCGGAGGCACCCGGAGGAGGAGCGCCTCGGGTGTCGGTTGCGCGCCGCCGCCGCCGGCGCCGCAGCGGCGGCCACCGCGGCGGTGGCGGGCGCACCCTGCTCAGCATCGCCGTGGCGATGTCCATCGGCAGGGCGCTGGTGGACTCCCTTCCGAAGCGAGGCTCCATCCTATTGCTTAGTGCATTGTTTTCATGTGAGTGCTGACCGAGAGAGAGGGAGAGAGAGAGAGAGAGAGAGAGCGAGCGCTCGCAGCAGCAGCAGCAGCAGCGCTGGGCCAGGAAGCCGAGGGGGCTCCGAAGCAGCGGCGCCGCCTCGAGGCAGCACCGGCGCGGCGCGCGCGGGAGGAGGCGCGGCGTGCCACGGCGCCGGCGAAGCGCGCCCCAGAGGAGGCGCGGCGGTGGAGCAGGGAGAAGGCGAGGCTACGCCAGCAGCGGCGCCGCGCGCAGGCGCAGGCCCGCTGGAGGTGGTCGAGGCGCAGTGACACGACGATGGGGGAGTTGCCGGGCCCTCACCGCCGCGTGTGGCAGGGCTCCCAGGGGAGAGCACGACGGCGCTGGGCCCTGAGCAGTCTGCGGTCTCTTGGGAGGGAACAGTGGTGACAGCGCTCTTTGCGGACAGGTCGACAGCGCGAGTGGCAGCGCGTCACCAGGTTGGATGCGGAGCATGCATTCGGAGGAGGAGGATGAGGAGGAGAAGGAGGAGAAGGAGGAGGACAAGGACGAGGACGACGATCAAGTCTAAAAGAAGGAGGTGGAGGAGGAGCAGGTGGGTGCTCAAAGCAAAGTGTTGATCATCCTCGCACGGTGCAACCTTGCAGCGAGGTGGCCAAGGACGTCCACGCATAGGGCCACTCCCCTCCCACGGCCCGAGGGACGTGAGGCGTGGGGTCGGGCCACTCCCCTCCCACGGGCCGCACTGCACCCCTTCCCCACCCATCTGGTGGCAGTACTCCGCATCGGCGGGAGGTTCCCGAGGACCGCCCCGTACCGAACTCGGCAGCGAACGAGGGGGGGGTGAGTCAGAGGGAAGAGGCCGGCCTTCTCAGAGGGCGGCGGGGCTTCGCGGAAGCCGTCCGGCCTTCTGAGGCGTCTCGTGGGTCTTCAGGGGAGGCTCTCAGAGAACGGCTCGGAAGGCCTCCGCCTTCCGAGCCTTCGGAGAATGCCCGCCCCCTCTCACGGGCTGGCCGCGTGGCGATGAGGATGAAGACGATGACGACGAGGAGGAGGAAGAGGAGGAGGAGGAGGAGGAGGGGGAGGATGAGGAGGATGAGGATGAGGACGACGATGGAGATGAGGATGAGGAAGAGGATGATATTGACGATGACGATGATGATGATGAAGAAGAAGAAGAATAGGAGGAGGAGGAAGAGGATGATGATGACGACGATGGTGATGATGATAATGCTGCTGCTGCTGATGACGATGATGATGATGATGATGATGATGATGATGAACATGGGGATGAGGATGAGGATGACGATGAAGATGACGATGATGATGAGCATGAGGATGATGATGATGATGATGATGATGATGATGATGATGATGATGATGATGATGATGATGATGATGATGATGATGATGATGATGATGACGATGACGATGACGATGACGATGACGATGATGGTGATGATGGTGATGATGATGATGAGGAGGAGGAGGAGGAGGAGGCGGAGGAGGCGGAGGAGGAGGAGGAGGAGGAGGAGGAGGAGGAGGAGGAGGAGGAGGAGTGCGGCTTCTGGGTCGAGCACCAGCCACACGTCCTGGTATGGGACCGCTGGTTTTGGCGCTGCCCGCGCTGCGACACGCGCGGCCGTGCGCCGGACCTGCCGGTGGCGCCCTGCGGCAGTTGCGGGGCCGCGCTGCAGGCGGAGCGAGAGGAGGCCATTCTCGACCTCGAGGTTTAGCGGGCCAACCGCCCAAGGCTGTTCCTCCGCATCACCCTGCGCTATTGCGTACCGGGCGACGCCGGCGCCCTGGCTGCCGCGGCCGGCCGCGACAGGGCGGTGAACGCCGAGGCCGAGGCCGATGAGCATCGGCGCTGCCACGCGGGCCGCACCCCGTGGGCCACGGTGCCGCTCGCGCTGGAGACAGGCGGCTGGCACGGGCGGGCAGCCCTCCCACATCTCCGAGGGAGCTCGCCCGAGGGGGGGCGGCCCTTGTTGGGCGAGGAGGCCGCGGCGGCGGCCGCGAGAGCGCTGGCCTGCCGCTGGGGCCAGGAGCTGAGCGTGGCCGCTACCTTGCCTCGGTCGAGGCCTGAGGCGGGCCCGCCGCCCGCTCCCGCCGCCCGCTGTCCAACTCGGACGGCGGCGCTCAGCCTCGCGCCTCGTGCCCCCCATCCGCGCCGAGCGCGGCCTGCGCCGGCGCCGGGCGGCCGCGCTGCGCTGCGCGCCGAGGCGGCGTGGCTGGACCGGCTGGCGCCGCTGGCCAGCGCATGCTCGCCGCCTGCTACCGGGTCGCGCCGCTGCTCGACATCTTCCTTGTCTCCGATGGGCCTGAGGAGGAGGAGGAGGAGGAGGAGGAGGAGGAGGAGGAGGAGGAGGAGGAGGAGGAGGAGGAGGACGCGCAGAAAGGCCAGAGGCCTTTTGGATGCCTCTCGGATTGTATTCGGATTTCTTTCGGGAGTTTTTTGAAGCCCTCCGTCTGGGGGGGGCTCTTGGCACTGCCGGAGGGCTCTTGAGGCGTCTTGGGTGCCTCTGGGGTGGGCTCGTGGAACCTCTTGGGGATCTCTTGGGAACCTCTTGGGGCCGTCTTGGGGCACCCTTGCGAGGCTCGGGGGCCATCTTGGGGCCACCTTGGAAGAGATCGATCAAAGGAGGGGTGCACCTCATTTTGGCTCCCCCCCATTAGTCCAAAATGTGGCCAGGGTGATTGTGGCCTTCTCGCCGAGGCCGCTTGGGGCGTTTTGGGTGCCTCTTGGGGACCTCTTGGGGCGTATTGGGGGTATCTTGGGAGCCCCTTGGTGGCATCTTGGGGTCCTCGTGGGGGCCTCTTGAGGCCTCCTCGGCACCTCTTGGGGCCGTCCCGAGGCACCCTTGGGAGCCTCGGGGGCCATCCTGGGGCCATCTTAGAGGAGATCGATCAAAGGACGGGCCGAACTCAATTAGTGCCCCTCCCCAGGAGGCCAAACTGCGCCCAAAACCTTAGTAACACCACTGATTTTGGTCTTCTCGCCGAGGCCATCTTGGACGCTCTAACTGACCGCGACTCCACCCTCCAGACCCAGGGGGAGGGGGGAGGGGGAGGGGTCCCCGCCCGCAAGGTGTCCCGCCCACTCCCACCCGCCATCCCAACACATCAGTAGCACCCACGCCTCAGCATGTTCAGCGGTCGTCTATGGATGGGCAGCTACTGGGAATCAAAACAGACTTTAAGAATTGCGCGATGGTGCGAGGTGCGCCACGCGTGCCAGGCGCTCCAGGTGCGCCAGGCACTCCTGTAGCCGAAGAGTGCCAGGCACGCTTCGCGCGCCAGATGCGCTACGTGCTCCACGTGCGCCATGTGTGCCGCATCGTCCAGCCGCACCAGGTGCGCCACGTCCGGGGCACGCGCAGAGTGTGCCAGGTGCGCCCGCGCATCGGGAGAGATAGCATGTCGGCCACCACCATTACTGTTGAAAACCAGTGCGCAATCGCGGCAGGGAGGCCATCCTGGTGTCTGATGAGCCTGCACACAGTAAGCAATATGCCAGTGACCACGGGGTGGCCGCGCATGATCCAGATTTAGCTGCGAAGTGCATGTTTTACTGTTTTTTGTCAGGGGTGGCGGCCTTGCGCAGAGCAGGCAGTATGAGGGCCCCCTCGCCGTCCTAGTCAACAAATACTGCAAAGTGCTCGCGGGGCCCGCGCACATGACCTAAGACTTCGCCCCAAAGTGTGCTTCTTATTTTCTGTGTTACAGGGATGGGGGGGCATTGGTCCTGCTTGGCTGCCGGTCGCCTGGGGGAGGGGGTGTTTATTAAAAGGGAACTGTGATAATCCCGTCCCCGAAGGGGAAGAGGAAAGAATAGAAGAGGTAACTCCTCAAACCACTCACGCTCAGAAGGCTGGTGGGATCACTCGTCTGATTTTTGCGCGAGTCGAAGGGGTCTGGGTCCTTCTTCTTGCTTCTTTCTGATCTCTTCCCCTGTGCCCCCTGAGCTGTCCCTGACACGGCGCACCCCACCACAGGAGGCAGCTGCAACCAGCAGCGGAAGCGCCTGAGGGCCATGCGCCTGGTCGGGGACGAGGAGGGCGACGAGTGCAGCGGCAGTGGCGAAGAGGACAGGGCGGATGACGAAGAGCAAAACACGGCACAAACAAAAAGGCTCGGATGACCGCACGGATTTTTCGGATCGGCGTTGGAACCTCTTGGCGGCGCCTCTGGCGCCGCCCCTGGGGGTCCAGCGCGGATTCGAGAAGTCAGCGCGGACCTCCGAAAGTTTAGGTTCATGCCAGTAGCTCTTTCTCGAATCGAGCTGTTGTTGCTGCTGCTTGGTAAGGCTTCGGGCTGCGCGCCGACAGCCACCGCCCAGATAGTCCTGGCTGGCCTCAGCAGACCCCCTGCAGCTACCGAGTGGGGTGCTCAATTGCGAGGAGGTCTCAGGCGAAACGGCTGTTCCGAGCGCTCTTCTGAGGTTCGGGCCTTTTTTGGCCAGGGCCTCTCGGAGTGAATTGTGAGGAAGCGTCGCGCGGGAGCGTTGTTGTCGTTGTTGAATTCTCATTTCTGAAAAAATAAGTATTGTTGATCCCCCCTGACTGGTGCACATTTTTCCCAACCATCCTGTGGTGTTGGGTCCTCGTTTTGAATAGACGGTCCCCGCGTTCCTGTCCTCTTCTCCTCCTCTTCCCCTTCCTCCTTTCCACCGCCCGCATGCGTCCCCCACACCAAATTTGGCACACCCCTCACACGCTTCGTGGCCCCATAGGGAGCTCCACCGAAGGCCCTAGTGCCACCGCTCGCATGCGTCCCCCGCACCCAGTTTGGCATTTTCACCCACCCAGTACAGCGCTCCGTGGCCCCATAGGGAGCTCCACCGAAGCCCCCCGTGGGACCGCCCGCATGCGCCCCCCACACCCAAGTTGGCATGTTCACCCGCCCAGTACAACGTTTCGTGGCCCCATAGGGAGCCCCACCGAAACTCTCCGTGGGACCGCCCGCATGCGTCCCCCACACCC